TTTTAATTGAAACATGAGATTACCTAATTGAGAAATTTAAAAGATTTAATAATCATACACCAAACAAATATGTGAAGTGATGTATGATTGGAAACACATTTCTGTGAAAATTAATAGATGACAAATTACAATAGAGACCACAGGAGCAGTTTCCAAGTTTTAATAATGTTCTGGATTACTGCTGTCTGTCTTTGCATGTCAACAACATTTGTCTTGGCACAGAAGACTTAGACAGAAGGTTGAAAGCTTGTCTGGTTCCAACTCTTGGTGGATTGGTTTTTGGCTGATTGTAAGTCCATGGAGCTGTTGATTCGGTCCGAGGTGGTAAGGTTGTTTGAAACATAACTGCTTTATTGGCCGAGGGACTTGGTCTGGTCCATCAGTTTGCGGAAGAGGTCTTCCATCTGAGCCTGGAAGTTGTCGACCAGAGGCTTAAGCTGGGCCTGCATGTTCTCAGCCAGGGGCTTCAGCTGGGTCTGCATGTTATCGGCCAGGGGTGCCAGCTGGGCCTGGATCTGCTGCAGCTGGGCCTTTCCATCCTCTACGAATGTCCTGTTTGGAAGGGAGCGGGTGATTAGTGGTCTGAATATAAACAAAGGGAGTGCCAAAAATATTATTTGAAAATAGGATCGAAACACATTGCCTGTTAAAGCATTTGCAGGTCATTAGCCTTTTTTCATCAAATGTTGGAATGTATATGATTGTTGCGAACCATCCATTCTTCAGCAGTAGTTGTGGCTGCTGTTTCTTTATTGTAAATTATAAGGTAAAAGAATGAGGATGAGTTATGTTTTTTTTCTTCACAATTCTTATAATTAGGACTGGGTTGGGAGGGCTGGTTCTTCATAGGTTTATCAAATCATTTAATAGTTTAAAAAATGTCACTCACTCTGACTGGATCTTCTGCATCAGCTCCTGAGTGGTGGAGGTCAGCTGAGCTGACAGATCCTGGAAGTACTGTGCCAGCTTCTCAACCTCGGGGGACTGTGCTGCTTGGCTTCCTATGGGTAGCCAGAGGATAACTTCATTAACATATTCCCACATTGTACACAAACCATTTATGCCCATATAGCATACAACAGCACATACAAGACCCTCTCTACATACAGTCATTTAAAATACATGAGTTATAAATATATCCACCGACTCTGCAATATAACATTCCTATATGTTGCATATCTCTCATTAATATTATATTATACACTGAGTATACCAAACATTAGGAACAACACAGCCTCAATTTATCGGCCATGGACTATTAAAGTGTCGAAAGCATTCCACAGGGATGCTGGCCCATGTTGACTCCAATGCTTCCCACAGTTGTGTCAAGTTAGCAGGATGTCCTTTGGGTGGTAGACCATTCTTGATACACACTGGAAACTGTTGAGCGTGAAAACCCAGCAGTATTGCAGTTCTTGACACAAACCGGTGCGCCTGGCACCTACTACCATATCCTGTTCAAATGGACTTAAATATTTTCACACTCTGAATGGCACACATACACAATCCATGTCTCAATTGTCTCTAGGCTTAAACATCCTTATTTAACCTGTCTCCTTCCCTTCATCTACACTGATTTGAAGTGGATTTAACAAGTGACATCAATAAGGGATCATAGCTTTCACCTGGATTCACATATTCAGTCTATGTGATGGAAAGAGCAGGTGTTCTTAATGTTTTGTACACTCAGTGTATAGTGCACATATGTTAAATGCAGTTATAGAACCACATATCTCCATACAGAATGCAATCTACGAGAAAATCAATTAAGAAGACAAACAAATCAAACTGTGTGTGTTTTTGTTTCAGCCATGATTGTGTAATTAATTCTGAATGCTACTACAGGGGAGAAACTAGCGACAGAGTGCTCCTTTCAGTTATGAAGAATTTTCACTTACCATGTGCCAGAGCGAGCAGGACAACTAGGGCGGCAAGGGAGAACTTCATGGCTGCTGAGTATGGCACCTGAGGAGAGATGAAAGTGCTAGGATTAGCTTGACCCCATAGGTCTGTGGAGGCATGGTTTGAGCACCGGATGGCAGTGGTGTAAAGTAACTAACTAAAAATAATGTAACTATTTATATTTTTGACAAGTTGTACTTTTACTCATTTTCTATTAAGGCATCTTTACTTTTACTCAAGTATGACAATTGAGTACTTTTCCCACCACTGTAGGATGGTAGGATTGCCATCTCTAAAGCATTTTGTGGTTTCAAAGTTTTTCTCTTGGCGTAACAAATAACGGCACTCAGTGGCAGGTTTGGGATCAGTTAAACTTAACTCAGTTAATTCAGGAAGATTTCAAATCATAATGAATTGGCTGAATAGTAATGGAGTTGGTCAAATACCCATACCCACGACTCCCTAGTAAATTGCAACTTCTGCCTGTCTGAGCAAATTTGGAATGGAATTAGACATGGATTTCCATCTTTATTTGCCTTTCTGAATTCACTGAGAAGAATAATCTTGATTCATATTGACAGTTTACCTCTTAAAACACAGGAATTAAACATCTATCAAGCACTTTAAAGATCACCCTCTAAACTACTGCTTATTGCAAAACTGTTTAAATGAGCATCTTACAATCTGGTTTGGAAGGAATGTCCCTCTTCAATTGAATGCCCATCAGTTATTACATTTTTACAGATACCCCACTTACTACTAAACAACATATTGCAAGAAAACCAAACATTTTACCACATCAAACATTACAGAGTTCCTTGGCAGAGAAAGAGAGAGGACCACACACCTGAGTTGCAGGACAGTTTAGACCGGATGGTATCTTTCCTTGGGCCTCCTAAACATCTTATAGTCCTTCGGGAACGATAGGTCCACCCCAGACGCAGACCCATTGGCTGCGTAGGCTGAAGTACTGGACTATCATTTGATGTTTGTGCTATTATGTGACTGCAGGCTGACCCTTGCTGCTCAGTTTGCCACTAGGGTGATCCGCTCTAAAGTCCAAGAGTCCCCCTCTTGCGTAGGAGTGCTGATTACTCAAACGCAGTAGGCGTCTTATCAAAGCATCTGATTTAAAGAAAACATACACAGGACATTTCATCACGAGAAACAACCAAACAGAGAGAATGACAACCAAGCTGTTCAAACACAACAAGAATTGCGATGGTACAGAAACATGGCAGCCACAACACAGTTTAGAGGGGTCAGCCTGAAGATGACACAGTTCAGCTGTTTCTGACTGTCTTTGTGAATCATGTTATCATTTTTTTTCCTGTTCTATTTCATGTGTGTGTACTGGTTCAAACCAGATCATCTATGAATACACAGATGAATTTTCCAAATTGTTCCATATTGAAAAGATAAAAGTAAATTGATTTAAATATATTGTTAATAAAGATAAATTGGTAATAGTGCAATTACAGTAAAAGTAATATGCTGTACAGGAGAATTACTAAAATGACTTATCATTTAATTTCCAAGCCATGGAATATATTAGTCAATTTCCATGACATAAAATTGTGTGCCTTATGAGATGAGATATAGAAAGTTTGTTACATTCAATCGAATATGAAGGATGACATTTAGGGATGATTGGGGGAAATGTTACTTACAAATGTTGCTGTGTGGAGAAATTGTTCCCTTGATAAATAGAGACTTTGCAGGGTAAAATCTGACCTATTTTTACAAACTGCAACATTAATTAATAAAAGGTCCAGAAACTTGAGTTCTATACGAATATACAATTTATACTTATACATAATATTTTCTATTCAATATTTGTCTCGTTTTACACTCGAAGATGTTGAGTATAACACCATCAGGAATTTCAAACAAAAGCTACATGTAGTTTTTGTATGTATATATATATATATACACAGTGAGGGAAACAGGTATTTGATCCCCTGCTGATTTTGTACGTTTGCCCACTGACAAAGACATGATCAGTCTATAATTTTAATGGTAGGTTTATTTGAACAGTGAGAGACAGAATAACAACAAAGAAATCCAGAAAAACGCATGTCAAAAATGTCATTAATTGATTTGCATTTTAATGAGGGAAATAAGTATTTGACCCCTCTGCAAAACATGACTTAGTACTTGGTGGCAGAACCCTTGTTGGCAATCACAGAGGTCAGACGTTTCTTGTAGTTGGCCACCAGGTTTGCACACATCTCAGGATGGATTTTGTCCCACTCCTCTTTGCAGATATTCTCCAAGTCATTAAGGTTTCGAGGCTGACGTTTGGCAACTGGAACCTTCAGCTCCCTCCACAGATTTTCTATGGGATTAAGGTCTGGAGACTGGCTAGGCCACTCCAGGACCTTAATGTGCTTCTTCTTGAGCCACTCCTTTGTTGCCTTGGCTGTGTATTTTTTGGGTAATTGTCATACAGGAATACCCATCCACAACCCATTTTCAATGCCCTGGCTGAGGGAAGGAGGTTCTCACCCAAGATTTGACGATACATGGCCCCGTCCATCGTCCCTTTGATGCGGTGAAGTTGTCCTGTCCCCTTAGCAGAAAAACACCCCCAAAGCATAATGTTTCCACCTCCATGTTTGACAGTGGGGATGGTGTTCTTGGGGTCATAGGCAGCATTCCTCCTCCTCCAAACACGGCGAGTTGAGTTGATGCCAAAGAGCTCGCTTTTGGTCTCATCTGACCACAACACTTTCACCCAGTTCTCCTCTGAATCATTCAGATGTTCATTGGCAAACTTCAGACGGGCCTGTATATGTGCTTTCTTGAGTAGGGGGACCTTGCGGGCGCTGCAGGATTTCTGTCCTTCACGGCGTAGTGTGTTATCAATTGTTTTCTTGGTGACTATCGTCCCAGCTGCCTTGAGATCATTGACAAGATCCTCCCGTGTAGTTCTGGGCTGATTCCTCACCGTTCTCATGATCATTGGAACTCCACGAGGTGAGATCTTGCATGGAGCCCCAGGCCGAGGGAGATTGACAGTTCTTTTGTGTTTCTTCCATTTGCGAATAATCGCACCAACTGTTGTCACCTTCTCACCAAGCTGCTTGGCGATGGTCTTTTAGCCCATTCCAGCCTTGTGTAGGTCTACAATCTTGTCCCTGACATCCTTGGATAGCTCTTTGGTCTTGGCCATGGTGGAGAGTTTGGAATCTGATTGATTGATTGCTTCTGTGGACAGGTGTCTTTTATACAGGTAACAAACTGAGATTAGGAGCACTCCCTTCAAGAGTGTGCTCCTAATCTCAGCTTGTTACCTGTATAAAAGACACCTGGGAGCCAGAAATCTTTGTGATTGAGAGGGGGTCAAATCAATTCATAACATTTTTGACATGCGTTTTTTCTGGATTTTTTTTTTGTTATTCTGTCTCTCACTGTTCAAATAAACCTACCATTAAAATGATAGACTTATCATTTCTTTGTCAGTGGGCAAACGTACAAAATCAGCAGGGGATCAAATACTTTTTTTCCTCACTATATATACAGTGGGGAGAACAAGTATTTGATACACTGCCGATTTTGCAGGTTTTCTTACTTACAAAGCATGTAGAGGTCTGTAATTTTTATCATAGGTACACTTCAACTGTGAGAGACGGAATCTAAAACAAAAATCCAGAAAATCACATTGTATGATTTTTAAGTAATTAATTTACATTTTATTGCATGACATAAGTATTTGATCACCTACCAACCAGTAAGAATTCCGGCTCTCACAGACCTGTTAGTTTTTCTTTAAGAAGCCCTCCTGTTCTCCACTCATTACCTGTATTAACTGCACCTGTTTGAAATCGTTACCTGTATAAAAGACACCTGTCCACACAGTCAATCAAACAGACTCCAACCTCTCCACAATGGCCAAGACCAGCGAGCTGTGTAAGGACGTCAGGGATAAAAGTGGAGACCTGCACAAGGCTGGGATGGGCTACAGGACAATAGGCAAGCAGCTTGGTGAGAAGACAACTGTTGGCGCAAATATTAGAAAATGGAAGAAGTTCAAGATGTCTCGTTTTACACTCGAAGATGTTGAGTATAACACCATCATACATATATACATACATATATATACAGTGGGGAGATTACAGAGATCATATGTTTCCTGTAGGTCTTGACCAGGTTTGCACACACTGCAGCAGGGATTTTGGCCCACTCCTCCATACAGACCTTCTCCAGATCCTTCAGGTTTCGGGGCTGTCGCTGGGCAATACGGACTTTCAGCTCCCTCCAAAGATTTTCTATTGGGTTCAGGTCTGGAGACTGGCTAGGCCACTCCAGGACCTTGAGATGCTTCTTACGGAGCCACTCCTTAGTTGCCCTGGCTGTGTGTTTCGGGTCGTTGTCATGCTGGAAGACCCAGCCACGACCCATCTTCAATGCTCTTACTGAGGGAAGGAGGTTGTTGGCCAAGATCTCGCGATACATGGCCCCATCCATCCTCCCCTCAATACGGTGCAGTCGTCCTGTCCCCTTTGCAGAAAAGCATCCCCAAAGAATGATGTTTCCACCTCCATGCTTCACGGTTGGGATGGTGTTCTTGGGGTTGTACTCATCCTTCTTCTTCCTCCAAACACGGCGAGTGGAGTTTAGACCAAAAAGCTCTATTTTTGTCTCATCAGACCACATGACCTTCTCCCATTCCTCCTCTGGATCATCCAGATGGTCATTGGCAAACTTCAGACGGGCCTGGACATGCGCTGGCTTGAGCAGGGGGACCTTGTGTGCACTGCAGGATTTTAATCCATGACGGCGTAGTGTGTTACTAATGGTTTTCTTTGAGACTGTGGTCCCAGCTCTCTTCAGGTCATTGACCAGGTCCTGCCGTGTAGTTCTGGGCTGATCCCTCACCTTCCTCATGATCATTGATGCCCCACGAGGTGAGATCTTGCATGGAGCCCCAGACCGAGGGTGATTGACCGTCATCTTGAACTTCTTCCATTTTCTAATAATTGCGCCAACAGTTGTTGCCTTCTCACCAAGCTGCTTGCCTATTGTCCTGTAGCCCATCCCAGCCTTGTGCAGGTCTACAA